GACAAAAAAACAATGTAGACGACGTTGGTGATGATAATAACGACGACCACGACGCTTATCATAATACACTGACAATGTAAAGTACTGTATAACAGTACCAGTAACAGCGCTACCAAAATACATTTTTTCAATCACCATACACATTTGTTGCTTTCAATTGACTGACTAATTTATGAAAAAATGTAATGTAGTGAATTAGTATACGTCAATTAATAAAAGCGCTGCACTACTCAATAACAGGTTACCACCGATTCGAAATAGAATTAATGGTTTCATCAGGATAGTTCTGCTTTCAACTTAAGTTTAGAACAAGTTGAGAATAGTTTGGATACAAGTTGAGCATAAGTTGAGATCAAGTTGATCATAAGTTGAGAACAAGTTGATCATAAATTGAGCATACTTGAGAACAGATTGGGAACAAGTTGAGTATAAGTTGAGCACAAGTTGATCATAAATTGAGCGTAAGTTGAGAACAGATTTGGAACAAGTTGATCATAAGTTGAGAATACAAGTTGAGAACTATTTGGGAATAAGTTGAGTATAAGTTGAGAACAAGTTGATCATAAGTTGAGCATAAGTTGAGAACAAGGTTAATTATAAGTTGAAAACACACATTGGTTCATACAATTCGAAAGCATTCGCACCGGCTCCTGGAGGATTGCATCTGCAATAACTTCAAGATTTCTGCATCCGCAAAAAAAAAGTAACCAGACGACTTTTTCGTCAGGTTCGATTGCTTAGAAACTAAATTATTGTCGAACCGGTACTATTTACAGTTTCTTGTGCATGTCATTATGAGTCTTTTGGAAGAAAAAAAAGTTGTTGAAAATTTCAACGTCATGAAAATTATTAATTGCTGATTCTTTTATTTCCAATAGTCCTATACCCCCTTAAGTTAATCTTGAATGGCAGAAGAACTAGAGATTAGCTCGTCATCCACTTTAGCTTTTTTGCTGGAATCTTCGTTGCAAATAGTTTAGGTATGTAATCAAATGAATGAATGTATGTAGGCGATTTCTGTTAACTTCAGCAATTAAATAAAATTTCATAAGAAATTCCCTTGGTTCTGTTTGTCGAAAATAAAATTCGAAGCGCGGATACACGATCAGAATGTCATCGTGACAGCTGATCAAAACTTTTGCATGTAAACGATTGCTTCGTTCTGCTCTCTGGTTTGCAGCTAACTTCTAGTTGAGCACATTCAAGCACTTTCTCCGTCGCTTGTCATTTGTCGATGTTACCTGTGCGTATAAGACAATGCACAGTAAATCCATCGCCTCTTTAGTGCATTTCACATTGTTGAGATAGGAAAACTTTAACCCTCGATATCTCGGTTAATTTTTGTCGTATAAAGTTAAAAAAAAACATTTTGCTCGTCTCGCGATGCCGAACATCCCATTAATTGTTTGTCGTATCTTTCGTTTACACCCTGTATAACTACTTCCTGATGTGCAGCACCGCGATATTTGCCTGTAAAATGGCAATGATCACGATGGTTTGCAGCTAACTTCTAGTTGAGCACATTCAAGCACTTTCTCCGTCGCTTGTCATTTGTCGATGTTACCTGTGCGTATAAGACAATGCACAGTAAATCCATCGCCTCTTTAGTGCATTTCACATTGTTGAGATAGGAAAACTTTAACCCTCGATATCTCGGTTAATTTTTGTCGTATAAAGTTAAAAAAAAACATTTTGCTCGTCTCGCGATGCCGAACATCCCATTAATTGTTTGTCGTATCTTTCGTTTACACCCTGTATAACTACTTCCTGATGTGCAGCACCGCGATATTTGCCTGTAAAATGGCAATGATCACGATACTTGGCATCCTGAGGTGTAAACGGTTTGTCACAAATATGACAAATCTTGGCCGAGTAAAATTCATTTCTTTGTTTGAAATTTAGAGATTCCATTAGTACGATACGTTTTAGGTAAAATTCTATAATTTAAGCTAATTCCTTTAATTGATTCATAAACCATTCCACGTAATCTTTTTCACGATAAACTTTAAATTTAAAGATAGAATCGTTAAAGTTACATTGCAAATAGTACGCTATACTGTGTGGAACGTGTCTTTGATAGAGAGTTGTATTTAACGAGTGAGACTTGTTTGTAATTGGTTCTAATATGCACTCGATGTCAGCATAAACGACAAACGGGACAGGTTCTTTATACTTATAATTTTTAAGTTTCATAATTTTATCTTTTTCATCCGGTAATACGACTCTGCATTTATTTATATTTGCACAATCGGGTCTCTGTTTTTCGAAAGAGCTTTCTAATCTAAAGTGGCATAGATATCTGTCACACAGTCTGGTAAAACCATGATTCTTTGAAATTTGTGAACTCAGTAAACGGGATAGATTTCGAATCCAAGCAAAGTGATAAACACTACCGTCTTCTATGTCCACGTCATCTCCATTTGAATACATTTGTGTTTCCAACATGAGTAACTGAATCGCTTCCTTGTTTGGTTTTTGTTGACTTAGATAAATTGGTACTATCTCATTACTACTATCACGCTCTATACCGTAAACGTTAATTACCAAATCATTCATCTTCTCGAATTTCGAAATGTCCTTTAAGCCAGTGGGAAAATTTAATCCTTCATACCTTAGCACTGAGCTGAAGTGGGGGTACGACCTGATCTTGTCTACATGATCTTTGTCTAACCGAGCAGAGAAAACAGTACGGATCGTTGTTTGTAATATTCACGACTGTTTTCTTACTTTGCACGTTCCTAGGCAACTCGATTAATGTTGATAGGCCACCGTGTATCGGTATGTACCTGTTGATGTTTATCGCCTAGTTTATAACTTCTATCAATGACCAACCAGATTCCCTTTCTTGAAAGTCTTCAACCATGGCTAGCAACTTTTCCTTCACATTTGTATTAAACCAATCACTGATATCGGTGGACGGTAGAATAATTTCGTTCTTAATGTTGAAGAATTTTAGCTCTTCGACAATCTCACCAGCTTTCATGGTCTCGAATTTACAAGACAAGATGACGTTCACTTTCAAATTTCTGTCCTTTCGAAGTACGTTTTTTACTCTCGTAGTAAACAATTTTGTGGAATCTTCCAAGAAACGGCCCAAGTTCTTGTGTCGCAAGTTTGCAATGACTCTAGTCCTTATTCTTCCCTTAAAGGCAGATTCCAAGTCATCCCAACGCACTCTGTCACTTCTTCTCTCTCTCGCCGTTCCTCCACTTCTTTTTTGAAATTGTTTAAATTTTTCGTTCAGAGATTTCAGGATTCCGATCGTTGTTAAAATTTTGGTTTTCTCTCCGATCGTAAGAGTAACGTTTCTTAAGGGTGTTGCTTAGTCTTTGGGGTAAAAAAATTGCTATTTTTCGGAATTCTTTTTTGAGTAGATTATAAAAGATATGGATATAAAAATAGATAGGTATAATAAATAAGGTCTTAAATTACAAAAAAAAAATTTTTTTTATTCATTTTTTTCAAGTTTCTTATTCGAAATACGTAGTTGAATGTTGAGCGGTAATTTCAAGGCAGCTTTGTCGCCACACGATATCTCAGCAACAGCTTATCTGAAACAAAAAAATCAAAGTGTTTTAGATTCGATATGACAGTAGCTACAGAAAGAAGCAGAATTATTAAGTTTGAGCTAATTTTGTAGATTTTATTTAATAAAATGTGAAAAGTTGAAAAAAACAGCTTTTTTTGGTGTTTTTTGGGAAAACAAATAGTAAAAATCAAAATTATAACTTGTAGCTGGTCCATCTTGTGGTTTATTATGTATAGAATATGTGGTCTAAATTTCAAAAGGATCGGTCCACTGGTTCCGGAGAAATCGTGTGGCGCGTCCGAAAGAACGTTGTTTTGAGAAAAACGCGTTTAAAGTTTTTTTAAACAAAAAATATAAAAAATATCTTACCAAAATTCAATCTGCAATGCCTGCACCGTATGAAGTACTTTCTGGTTGATCGAAACCTTGATTTTCTTCCAATCTAGCCTTTTTTCTCGCTGTTCTAGACTCTTTTGAAGTACTCAAGCTGTGGCGATTCGCTTCTTGAACACGCGTAGAATCGTGATCAGCGATGTAATGCACGGAGCTCGGCCCGATTTTCAAACCCATTTATTTCCTCCATGATTTTCAAAACTGGGCTGTATCCTTCGTTGTATATGCATGCAGCTATTTTTGCTGCAATATCAACTACTTGTTTGCTATTGAAAAGATGTTTAAGTACCATGTTCCAGACACAATGGTTGTAACTTTCGTTATTATTTTGTGTGTGGCCACCGAAACATCTTTCAAATAGTTCGGTCTTCGTCAAATCTTCATAAATCGGCTTGAGTACTTCTTGCACCTCAGAAGAAAGAGCCGGTTTGTGCTTGTAATCTTTCAAAGACTTACTTACTTTTGCTTTAAGGTACGTGCACCAACTCGGCGAACAGTACAAGTGCTGCGGCTTCTCGTCTGTTGAGATTTTGTGATAGAAACCAGCCCAGATCTCTTTTCGCATGTTTTCAACAGAATCACTATTTCTGCGAACAGCTAAACCGTAGTTTTCTGACAGCTCTTTCATCAACTTGATCGTTAAATATTGAGTTTTAGTAACGGGAAGCTGTGCGACTCCCTTTCTTTTCTCTGCAACTTTGCTCGCAACAGTTTTCTTCGGTGTGGGTTTCTTCAGTGTGTTTCTTCGGTGCTTTTTCGCTGCTGTTTCTTCTGTGGCTTTTTTTTTTCAGCTTCCATCAAGGCTTTTTTCTTTTGTATCAATGCTTTTCTGGCTTCATTAGCACGCTTAAAAACTCTTTTTGCCACATGATACGTCAGAGGGGATTAGAGCAGAGGTCGGATGGGCGCGCTGCGTGCGCAGGTATACGAGCGGTCAGGTAGGGTCGTTTCGGTCCAAAAAAAATATACTTATACTGCTCCAATCTTTATAAAAATTAAACACAATATTCTTACATACATATACATTCGAAAAATGAAAACAAAAAAATCGATTTCTTCAAAATGAAAGACTAGGCAATACCCTTAAAATTTTATTTAAAAGTCTGATATTTTGAATGTCAAATTTCGTCCATTTTTCAATTTGTGCAATCGATGATCCCTTCTTTAGAAGTTTATATGCTCCTTCCATAATCTCGATCAACTTTTTACACTTCGCAGAATCCATCTCGTTAATAACAATAATGTACTTGAAGGTTTAACAAACAATGATCGCTGTGCATCATCAAAGGGCCTTTTATATAAGGCTTTCCTGGAATTGTTTTGCATCGGTTCGAGCGATAAGACACCTACCTGAATTGCGCACTTTGAGCTCGAACTTTACATCAAAATGTTTCCGAAGTGCAACAAGGGTCGCTCATCTTTTGCGAGTAATTCGATACCCTGAATAACAAGGTCAAAACAGTGTCCGACTGCCACCTGAAGTCTGCATGGGAGGGGGGGGGGGCAGGGACCCACATGCGCACAGACCACTTGCCCACAGAACCAAATGCGCACGGAACGTTTGCCCACGGCCCACTTCCCCACGGACCGCTTGCCCACGAACCACTTGTGCACGGGTTGAAATATACGTTGACCCAGATGCCCACGACCCACTTGCGCACGGATCTCGTAACATTCACGAACCCAGTTGCCCACGGCCCACTTGCGCACAGGCTGACATTTCCGTCGGCCCAGATGCCCACGGACCCACTTGCCCACGGAGCACTTGCGCACGGATGGAAATCTTCGTTGACTCAGATGCTCACGACCCACTTACGCACAGATTTCTACCCCACTAGCGTATACCGTATCGTCGTATATCAATACAGCATGGACAATTAAAGTAAATTAGGTTAGATTAGGTTAGGGTGGAATGTTTAGACCTGGGAGACTGGGTAGGTTAGTGTATAGAGACTGGTTTAGGTTAGAAAATATATCAACTGAAGAGAGCATTAAATGTTTTAAAAGATTCTGTCAGATAATGATAACTTACAATATCCTCAAATTACTGATGGAATATCGTTCAGAAGGCAGATATTCGCTTTTGTGTTCATTTGGGTTTGTGCGTAACTGGGATCACCTGATTTCAATCCGCGCGCAAGTGGTCCGCGGGCAAGTGGGTCGTGGGCATCTGGATCAACGAAGATTCCAATCCGTGCGCAAGTGGTCCATGAGAAAGTGGGTCCGTGGGCATATGGAGCGATTAAAATTTCAGCCTGTGCACAAGTGGGCCGTGGGCAACTGGGTCCGTGGATGTTACGAGATTCGTGTTCAAGTGGGCCGTGGGCATCTGGGTCGACGGAGATTTCAATCCGTGCGCACGTGGGCCGTGGGCAACTGGGTTCGTGAACGTTACGCGATCCGTGCGCAAGTTTTCCTTGGGCATCTGGGTCGACGGAAATGTCAGCCTGTGCGTAAGTGGGCCGTAGGCATCTGGGTCAACGGAGATTTCAATCCGTGCGCAAGTGGGTCGTGGGTACCTGGGTTCGTTAATGTTACGAGATCCGTGCGCAAGTGGTCCTTGGGCATCTGGGTCGACGGAAATGTTAGCCTGTGCGTAAGTGGGCCGTAGGCATCTGGGTCAACGGAGATTTCAATCCGTGCGCAAGTGGGTCGTGGGTACCTGGGTTCGTTAATGTTACGAGATCCGTGCGCAAGTGGTCCTTGGGCATCTGGGTCGACGGAAATGTTAGCCTGTGCGTAAGTGGGCCGTGGACATCTAGGTCGACGAAGATTTTAATCCGTGCGCAAGCGGTCCGTGGGTATCTGGGTCGACGGAGATTTCAATCATCGCGCAAGTGGGCCGTGGACATCTGCGTCGACGGAGATTTCAATGCGTACGTAAGTGGGCCGTGGGCATCTGGGCCGACGGAGATTTCAATCCGTGCGCAAGTGGGCCGTGAGCATCTGTATCGACGGAGATTTCAATCCGTGCGCAAGTGAGCCGTGGGCAACTGGGTTCGTGAATATTACGAGATCTGTGCGCAAGTGGGCCGTGGGCATCTGGGTCGACGGAGATTTTAATCTGTGCGCAAGTGGTCCGTGGACAAGTGTGCCGTAGGCATCTGGGTCAACGGAGATTTCAATCCGTGCGCAAGTGGGCCGTGAGCATCTGTATCGACGGAGATTTCAATCCGTGCGCAAGTGAGCCGTGGGCAACTGGGTTCGTGAATATTACGAGATCTGTGCGCAAGTGGGCCGTGGGCATCTGGGTCGACGGAGATTTTAATCTGTGCGCAAGTGGTCCGTGGACAAGTGTGCCGTAGGCATCTGGGTCAACGGAGATTTCAATCCGTGCACAAGTGGGTCGTAGGCATCTGGGTCAACGGAGATTTCAATCCGTGCACAAGTGGGTCGTAGGCATCTGGGTCAACGGAGATTTCAATCCGTGCGCAAGTGAGCCGTGGGCAACTGGGTTCGTGAATATTACGAGATCTGTGCGCAAGTGGGCCGTGAGCATCTGGGTCGACGGAGATTTCAATGCGTACGTAAGTGGGCCGTGGGTAACTGGGTCCGTGAATGTTATGAGATCCGTGCACAAGTGGGCCGTGGGCATCTGGGTCGACGGAGATTTTAATCTGTGCGCAAGTGGTCCGTGGACAAGTGTGCCGTAGGCATCTGGGTCAACGGAGATTTCAATCCGTGCGCAAGTGGGCCGTGGGTAACTGGGTCCGTGAATGTTATGAGATCCGTGCACAAGTGGGCCGTGGGCATCTGGGTCGACGGAGATTTCAATGCGTACGTAAGTGGGCCGTGGGTAACTGGGTCCGTGAATGTTACGAGATCCGTGCGCAAGTGGGCCGTGGGCATCTGGGCCGACGGAGATTTCAATCCGTGCACAAGTGGGCCGTGAGCATCTCGATCGACGGAGATTTCAATCGGTACGGAAGTGAGCCGTGGGTACCTGGGTTCGTGAATGTTACGAGATCCGTGCGCAAGTGGTCCTTGGGCATCTGGGTCGACGGAAATGTCAGCCTGTGTGTAAGTGGGCCGTGGACATCTGCGTCGACGGAGATTTTAATCCTCGCGCAAGTAGGACGTGGACATCTGCGTCGACGGAGATTTCAATATGTGCGCAAGTGGTTCGTAGGCATCTGGGTCGACGGAGATTTCAAACCGTGCGTAAGTGGGCCGTGGGTAACTGGGTCAGTGAATGTTATGAGATCCGTGCACAAGTGGGCCGTGGGCATCTGGGTCGACGGAGATTTCAATGCGTACGTAAGTGGGCCGTGGGCAAGTGGTTCGTAGGCATCTGGGTCAACGGAGATTTCAATCCGTGCGCAAGTGGGCCGTGGGTAACTGGGTTCGTGAACGTTACGCGATCGGTGCGCAAGTTTTCCTTGGGCATCTGGGTCGACGGAAATGTCAGCCTGTGTGTAAGTGGGCCGTGGACATCTGCGTCGACGGAGATTTCAATATGTGCGCAAGTGGTTCGTAGGCATCTGGGTCAACGGAGATTTCAATCCGTGCGCAAGTGGGCCGTGGGTAACTGGGTTCGTGAACGTTACGCGATCGGTGCGCAAGTTTTCCTTGGGCATCTGGGTCGACGGAAATGTCAGCCTGTGTGTAAGTGGGCCGTGGACATCTGCGTCGACGGAGATTTCAATATGTGCGCAAGTGGTTCGTAGGCATCTGGGTCAACGGAGATTTCAATCCGTGCGCAAGAGGGCCGTGGGCATCTGGGTCGACGGAGATTTCAAACCGTGCGTAAGTGGGCCGTGGGTAACTGGGTCAGTGAATGTTATGAGATCCGTGCACAAGTGGGCCGTGGGCATCTGGGTCGACGGAGATTTTCGGTGCGCAAGTTTTCCTTGGGCATCTGGGTCGACGGAAATGTCAGCCTGTGTGTAAGTGGGCCGTGGACATCTGCGTCGACGGAGATTTCAATATGTGCGCAAGTGGTTCGTAGGCATCTGGGTCAACGGAGATTTCAATCCGTGCGCAAGTGGGCCGTGGGCAACTGGGTTCGTGAATATTACGAGATCTGTGCGCAAGTGGGCCGTGAGCATCTGGGTCGACGAAAATTTCAATCTGTGCGCAAGTGGTCCGTGGACAAGTGGGCCGTAGGCATATGGGTCAGTGGAGATTTCAATCCGTGCAGAAGTGGGCCGTGGGTAACTGGGTTCGTGAATGTTACGAGATCCGTGCGCAGGTGGTCCTTGGGCATCTGGGTCGACGGAGATTTTAATCTGTGCGTAAGTGGGCCGTAGGCATCTGGGTCAACGGCGATATCAATCCGTGCGCAAGTGGGCCGTGGGTAACTGGGTTCGTGAATGTTACGAGATCCGTGCGCAGGTGGTCCTTGGGCATCTGGGTCGACGGAGATTTTAATCTGTGCGTAAGTGGGCCGTAGGCATCTGGGTCAACGGCGATATCAATCCGTGCGCAAGTGGGCCGTGGGTAACTGGGTTCGTGAACGTTACGCGATCGGTGCGCAAGTTTTCCTTGGGCATCTGGGTCGACGGAAATGTCAGCCTGTGTGTAAGTGGGCCGTGGACATCTGCGTCGACGGAGATTTTAATCCTCGCGCAAGTAGGACGTGGACATCTGCGTCGACGGAGATTTCAATATGTGCGCAAGTGGTTCGTAGGCATCTGGGTCGACGGAGATTTCAAACCGTGCGTAAGTGGGCCGTGGGTAACTGGGTCAGTGAATGTTATGAGATCCGTGCACAAGTGGGCCGTGGGCATCTGGGCCGACGGAGATTTCAATCCATGCGCAAGTGGACCGTGAGCATCTGGATCGACGGAGATTTCAATCCGTGCGCAAGTGGGCCGTGGGCAACTGGGTTCGTGAATATTACGAGATCTGTGCGCAAGTGGGCCGTGAGCATCTGGGTCGACGGAGATTTCAATCTGTGCGCAAGTGGTCCGTGGACAAGTGGGCCGTAGGCATATGGGTCAGTGGAGATTTCAATCCGTGCGGAAGTGGGCCGTGGGTAACTGGGTTCGTGAATGTTACGAGATCCGTTCGCAAGTGGTCCTTGGGCATCTGGGTCGACGGAAATGTCAGCCTGTGCGTAAGTGGGCCATGGGCAACTCGGTCAACGGAGATTTCAATCCGTGTGCCGTGGGCATCTGGGTCGACGGAGATTGCAATCCCTTCGCAAGTGGGTCGTGGGCAACTGGGTCCGTGAATGCTACGAAATCCGTGCACAAGTGGGCCGTGGGCAAACGGTCCGTGCGCATCTGGTTCTGTGGGCATGTGGTCTGTGCGCATCTGGAAACCAATCGGTCGGGGGAGGCATCGAAAGCTTCGTGGATGTGGGCTGCCGTTCGAAGCCAGCACGGATGCTTCCTGGAATCGATGCTGCTGCTGTATCCTCGATGCGCAATTCTGCGAGATAACGTTCAAGGTCAAATCGTCTGAAGGCTGCCGTCTGAAATCTACACGGATCGGCAGGGGGGAAGGGGGTTCATCGAAGGTTCTGGAAGGCTCCACGTGGTAGTGGCAAGGGGCTCCATCAAAATGTCGCGCGAGATGACCGTCGGCTCTGGGAGCGATCCTCCGCGACTTAGCATTGACACGAACCGTCGAAGCTTCTAAAAGGTTCTAGAAGTTTCTAGAATGTTCTAGAAGGTTCTCAATCGTATGTTATTCCTAGAATCGAGCGCAAAATTCCCGGAATTTGACGCAAAATTTACGGAATCAAGCGAAAATTCTTAGAATCAATGGGTCTCGGTGACGTCACTTCCGCAAATCGTAGAGCTCACGACGCCAACTTAGCACAGACGCCCACCTGCGAAGGTTCTAGAGTGTCGGTGTAGGTCGGTTACAGGAATCCTGGTCCAGAAACCAACAACTTATACTACTATTCACAATTATAAAAATAATTGTTTTTATTTGTAGCATGTATTATTTTGTAGTTCAAATTTAGATATTACATTTTCTATCTCATAATATAGGATACTGACTCATAATATGGCCTTTTATCTTAACCTTCTTCGAGTAAATAATGATAAATACTTCATTGATGACGAGAAGTTAGGAGCATTTATGACTGCGCCAGGTTGAGCTCCCTTTTAAGCAAGCTACACTGTTCCCACAATTGAACGCAAAGACGTCAAGTAAGATGCAGCAGTGGTGAGGAACTTCATTGTGTAAAGAGAAGAACATTTTCAATACTGTGCTGGCAATAAGCAGTCAATCCAAACAAGTTTTATCGAGCAGCTAAACTCACTGTGGTATAATTCTCCAAGATTAAAAGTCCCATTTTTCCGTTCCGCAGATTGATAGGAGATGCACTATACACCATGATTTGTAAAAGTAATTTACGGCAATTTATTGATAATGATTCCCAACCGCTGTAATAAACAGATTCTGCAATTGTTTTAGCCTGAAATTCGCCATCATTTATTATCACTTATTCCATTTGAAATTTATTATATTAAGTTCCTGTTATATTCATTATGAAGCAGATGAGTTTACCTCTTCAATAAGTATATGCCCTGGAAGGTAGTAGAATAACAGTTGAACAGCCGAAGCTACCATTAGTAAGGAATTTATAAAAATGGAGTCCAATGAATGTTCGGTGACCTGTTAATGGATCATACCTGTTGTAAGTGGATATCATAAAAAAGTTGACTCAAATTTGACAAATGTCATGTGACGGTCATCATTTGATAAAGTCCCATTTGAAAACATCTTACATCATAAATAAAATAAAATAAATAAACATAAATAAATAAAAAACAAACATAAATAAAGCCCCATTACACGCAAGTTTTGTGATGGCCATGAACAAACTGCGTAATCATCAACTTCTTGTATTCATTATCGTTCCAAAAATTGTGTCGTAAATAGATGGTAGTGAAAAGATGACCGAGGCAGCATGGGGAAGTAATACGGGAATAGGTATGCCGTCTCAGACACCTTTTTTTACATCATAAAATTTTTTGCAATTTTATGCTCTTCTGAACAATAGAATGCATTCCGAATGAAATGCACAAATACGATTGAATTATTCCAATATCTTGAACCTATGCATATTATAACCTATATTATAACCTATATATTATATTCACTTAAACGGGAACATATATATAATAATGAATTCGACAAGAATATGAAATTTATCTGAAAGCCGACTGTGTAACAAATGTCAAATCTGATTGAAACGCTTGAACTAATGTGGCTGTGTTTATTCATTACCAGTTTGTCATCAGACCACTTACATTAATTATCAAAAAACTTGTACAGCAAACCGTTAGAAGAATTGACAAGAATAGCACAAGTATAATGAAGGTATAAGTTTCGTTGACGTCATTGATATAGCTGCGAAATCAAAGCGATAATGGAAGTTAATATCTCATCTAAAGTGCTTTTACTCTAGTTTATCTATAAATACCGTAATATGTCGCAGTGTTGTTGAACATAGTTGCAGATCCTTCTTCTTAAAATCTTCTCATTACCGTTTGAATTATCAGAAAGCTGCTGGAATTTTCGCTGTAAAACTTTGAGTCTCGCGCAGGCAAAGAATATAAAAACACCGAAGGTGATTTCAGTAGTACTAGCGCAGCCACTGAACGTAATGCATATAATTTGTTGAAAATATGCCAGGGTGTAGAAAAACGTCGATTTCTTGTAATCAAAGGGATACCAGGCCCCAGTTGGTAGGAATTGTGATTTTTTCCACAAAGGTTGAACTATATAATCTAATGTAATAATAAACACGCTGATAGTATAGATCCAATAAGCGACATAACCCACGCGAGTATACTCTTTATGATACCGAAGAAGTTCTCCAGAGGCTGTAGTTTGAACTCTCTCAACTCCGTGGAGGAGTCGACTAAATTTATGACGATGCAACCGCATGATTCCCACTTTACCCGCTGCATGCAAATATATCACCTTTGGAAAAAAATGATTTCTTTATATATTTTATATTTTATTTATTATTTTTTTTTTATATTAGTTAGATATCGTAAAAGTTACAAAAGCTTACCTGGGTACTAAGGGTTTCAATTATTTCTTGAGGATTGTTCGCCTGTATTATTGCGTACACTAATGCTTGAATGGAGATAAGAATAAATCCACTGATGACGAAGAGAAAGTGAAGAAAATCGAAATTTTTTCTCAAATTTGAAGCGTTCTTTGATATGGGCCAACAGCAAATGATTTTCAAACAAAAACTTGTGTATTGCATAGGGTATTTTAGCAGAAACATATTTCACGGTTAGACTACTCAGATTCTTTTCATAGACAGATGCTTTAGTATTTTCCAATATACCGTATTCCGTATTGTCGCAATGACAAGTGAAGAAGCAGGTTGAAACTTCGCGAGACGTAAGAAAGAAGTTACACCATTGAAACAGTTTCACCTCACATGATAACATATGTATGAGAAAAGAGCCACTCATTATTGGCGCTATAATAGAAGTAAATTGCTCTAACAATTAGGTTCGAATGAGTTTAATTATGCACGCCTGCCAGGTGTTAACAATCGATTGATAATGTCTATGAATATCCGAAGGTTTTCAATGATTAATGTTGTGCAATATCTAGAAAAGGCAAGTCAATTTTTTCATAAATATTCATATTATTGTATATTCAAACGGATGCCCGTATAATTTTGCTTTCTGACATATGCAATAATTGGCATATTGATATTTTGCCATATAAGATCTCATCTCAGCGCTACTGAATTGTATCGCTAGGCTGTAAATATGGCTAATTGATTTAACAATGTACGGTTACGTGGAAAGCATGATCAACCTTATGTCTTTTCTTGCCTCTTTGATTTTATATAGTCCTGGTAACTGGCCGTAACAATCCAAGAGCGTGCTGAAAAAGTGCAGCGCGGACCCTATGAGATTACATTTTGACATGTATGAGAAATTCTATTATGCTGCATTGTTTGATGATGAATGCTTGTCAGAATATAACACTGTCCTATTTTAAAATTTCAACTGTTCAAATATTGACGCCGAGGCGGAAAGTGATAAAAATTATATTAAATTCAATCTTAAAATCAGTATAAACAATATGCATATACATACTTACCTGTACTCAGAAAATAGTTAGGCACGACTTCCTAGAGAGAATAAAAAATAAAAATATTTTTCTAACCTGTTGTATATAGCCTAAGAAAGAATAAATATCTATGAAATATATAAAAATAGTTGATAAACTTTCAAATGAGGTTATATCCAATAAAAAACATTGCTATGTTAATGTATGTACGAAAATCTAATTTATAACATCGAATACGTAATATTAGGTGACATCTGATCAATGTTACTTACTCGGTATCTAAATGGTGATATCTTTACAATATCTCTTCGAGAAAATTTATATTTGTTATTGTCTCTATGGTTCTTAATATACTTAGGAAGCTATATTATCTGAAATATAAACTTTATTAAATAATGAGCAATACCAAAGATACCATTTGTTGAAAATCATGATAGCAGAGTGTAGATCATTTATCCCCCAAAAAACACTTACGTGTAAAAAACTACGCCAAGTACAGGATTGCTGTGAATTCGTCTAACAAAAAGTATTGATATCATATTATTGAGGCCAAGTACATAAGTCACTACATGTTTTCCTATTATATGATCTAGCACTGGCCCATCATTTTAATTATATTTTCAATATTTCCTATAACGTTTTCGCTACACTTTTATGTTACTGCTGCTTCCCATATTTAATTATGATTTAATGGTGATTTAATAATTAATAAAACTGTAGGTGATTCCTTATCGAGTACTACTTGGCATGTCCGTGCCAGGAATTCCAAAGTACTTACTTTGCACGTGCTCATAGTATTCTAATGCTGTACGTTTGTTATTAGGCTTTTACCGTGATTATTTTTGACAAGTTATTGTTAATATGCTTTCTATAGAAAACTGGTACTGGTTTTGTACCAAATTTATATCAAGAAATGCACGGACCCGCCAAGTAGTACTCGATAAGGAATCACCTAAAGTTTTATTAATTATTAAATCACCATTAAATCATAATTAAATACGGGAAGCAGCAGTAACATAAAAGAGTAGCGAAAACGTTATAGGAAATATTGAAAACATAATTAAAATGATGGGCCAGTACTAGATCATATAATAGGAAAACATGTAGCGACTTATGTACTTGGCCTCAATAATATGATATCAATACTGTTTATTAGAGGAATTCACAGCAATCCAAATTTTTTTTTTCAGGCAAAACTATTTCTACCTTGGCCTTTACGTTGGGCGCCAAATATAATTATAACTTTCTTGTTAAATAAATAACTAAAAAACAAGTAGCGAAATTCAAATAAACATGTGAATGATTTATATATGTCTATTCAAAATCAATTAATATTCAAATTACGTCTGATGATAATGATACAAATTTTCCAAAAAATGAACATTAAATTTCCGTTTGGTATAACATAGACATAAATCTCACGCATAACCCATTCATATTCATATATTGACTAGTCGAGAAATATGCATATAACATAATAAAATTGACATAAGAATATAATATTAATTATAAATTTTCCAAAAAATTAACATTAAATTTCCGTTTGGTATAACATAGACATAAAACTCACGCATAACCCATTCATATTCATATATTGACTAGTCGAGAAATATGCATATAATATAATAAAATTGACATAAGAATATAATATTAATTAAAAGTAAGATACGTGTTTCGCTGATGATCCATTTTGTATATCCTTTCATTCCATGTTCCCATCATCAACCAAGTCGACTCTCAACTTCCACATCTAACACCTAGATACAAGAAATTACAAAGCGTAACACCTGAACACCCTGGATATCCGATATCTAGATACAAGAAACTACGGAGAGGAATACCTGAACACTCTGAACTTTCACATTTAACACCTAGATGGAAAAAATGAAGTGAAGGTAAAAACTTTTTGAAATTTTGTAATATCATTAGGGGTTGAACACCTGTCAGCTGGTAAAACCTTCATAATTTAACTGAAGAGACTATATCGTTGAAATGAAAATTAGAAAATTGTATGAAATTCTAATAACTATTTATATTTAATTATTGTTTGTTAATTCCTTATTTCATTTCATTTTTTATTAAATTTAACTATAATATAATTTTTAGATAGATTGTTCTTTTTAATATATTTCTAGTCCATAGAAGTCGGCTTAATAAACTAAGCGAAATATAGGAAAATTTATTCAGAACTTTCTTTATCTGGCATATTTTATTATACCACCTTTCAAATTTTGAATTTTCCAACCTTATGTAATTTTTATTTCTACGATATCGATTACCAATCGATCGAGTATTCAAAGTTGCAATAACTTTACTCAACGATATTGTCGATCATTGTTGAGTATAGATCTTCGTTGCAACTTTTCCTCCAACTTTAAGAATAACTTTTGTTAAGAACTATCCAATCTTAAATATCACTTTGAAAACAACCTTCGAGTAAATAAAAGTTCGAATAAACCGCTTAAAAACAAACTTATCATTTATCAATATATATCTGAGGCCATTGTCATGACTTCGACTATCCATAACTATCATAAATAATACAATTTATTGTCCCCTCAATAAATAAATATTCCATGTCTCTTCGAATAAATTCATAACATCCACATAAGCTCGGCTTTACTACAATATTATCGAATATTTCGTTGAAATTGCATTAGATATGTCATCCAAATTATTAGGTGTATCGATTTCGTTCTCTTATCACAAAAATAATATCGCGTACGATAAAAAATGAATTATAAATCATTAAATTTACTAATTTTTATTCATCATTAAATTTATTGCATTTCATATTTTACTTTACTCGTGATCCACGAATAATTGATTACACGGCTGTTCCATGAAGTTTTCTGAAACGTAAGAGCTGCGGTACAAGATGAGTTATAATTTTACGATAAGGCACATTGATACTTCATTTGTTTATTAATACGTAAACGAATTGAGAAAGCAAATGAATACAATTCATTATAAAAGCAAAGTAACAAAACATAACTGAACAACTACTTTAGTTAGCGGAACAGCAAAGAATAAGAGTAAAATTTAGCAACGAGGTTGGCTGATGAATCGGCGAAGAATGAATAAGGAGCTTAGTGGGGTTTTCGAAGAAAAATCATAAAATCAGAAATGTCCGCTGTGGATGCACGTGTGCACTTGAGTAGAGTCGCAAACGGTCAGAGCTATTCCCTAAGTATATTTTTTATACATGTATCCCCTTGAAAGCTTCATATTACTTTCCCTAAACCTTATGCAAGATAGCCGCTACCTAAGGCGACTATGTGCTAGAAACCAGATCCCACTGATTGTCCTTTGACAGTTACCAACCGCGGATATACAACCTGATTTATCACACGGACGTAACAGTATCCTGTATCCATATCTGGCATAGTTATTGTACGTAGGAAATGCTTTGGATAATTATAGATTCTACAAAATTTTTCTTTCTGCATATACATACGTATGTATTCTGACAGGCTCGCGTGCACACTGCAGGTGAGTTAATAGCCAATCTCGATTCAGATTCTCCCTCGTAATTAGCAAAGTGATTGTTTGGCTGATTGCGATTTATCAAACGAACAAACATCTGCGCAAGCGTCCAGAAACACAATTGGCATGCATGCATGCACATCTCGTGATAATGCTTGATAAAAAGCATTCCAGTAGTTTCGATGCTTAATTGAGTAATAAAGAGGGAAGATAAATAAAATAAAATTAATAAATTTTCTGTATTTGCGAAATTATATATTTTTATATATTACTTCATCTACATTGGATTCGAAGTTCAATAGTGATATTAGAATGTGCGATGAAAAATTCATTCCATCCGCCTGTTACTGTGAAGTTTTGCGATCAGTAGTTTCCATATGTTTAAATAAGGCTGAGAGTATCATCATAGGATATTAGGTATGATGAATAATTATTTTCTTATGTAACCTACAACCCTTGTCAATCATTTAATGAGTAAATATAAAATAATACATAGGAGTCTGTCTCAGCTAGACTTGTTCTAGACATATGTAATACTAGCCTCGTTCTCTGTCAGAGTTGGGAGACTCCTATACTCATGGTAGACCTGCTTGTGTAACTTACAACCCTTGTCTATCATTTAATGAGTAAATATAAAATAATACATAGGAGTCTATCTCAGCTAGACTCGTTCTAGACATATGTAATACTAGCCTCGTTCTCTGTCAGAGTTGGGAGACTCCTATACTCATGGTAGACCTGCTTGTGTAACTTACAACCCTTGTCTATCATTTAATGAGTAAATATAAAATAATACATAGGAGTCTATCTCAGCTAGACTCGTTCTAGACATATGTAATACTAGCCTCGTTCTCTGTCAGAGTTGGGAGACTCCTATACTCATGGTAGACCTGCTTGTGTAACTTACAACCCTTGTCTATCATTTAATGAGTAAATATAAAATAATACATAGGAGTCTATCTCAGCTAGACTCGTTCTAGACATATGTAATACTAGCCTCGTTCTCTGTCAGAGTTGGGAGACTCCTATACTCATGGTAGACCTGCTTGTGTAACTTACAACCCTTGTCTATCATTTAATGAGTAAATATAAAATAATACATAGGAGTCTATCTCAGCTAGACTCGTTCTAGACATATGTAATACTAGCCTCGTTCTCTGTCAGAGTTGGGAGACTCCTATACTCATGGTAGACCTGCTTGTGTAACTTACAACCCTTGTCTATCATTTAATGAGTAAATATAAAATAATACATAGGAGTCTATCTCAGCTAGACTCGTTCTAGACATATGTAATACTAGCCTCGTTCTCTGTCAGAGTTGGGAGACTCCTATACTCATGGTAGACCTGCTTGTGTAACTTACAACCCTTGTCTATCATTTAATGAGTAAATATAAAATAATACATAGGAGTCTATCTCAGCTAGACTCGTTCTAGACATATGTAATACTAGCCTTCGTTCTCTGTAAGAATTGGGAGACTCCTGTACTCATGGTAGACCTGCGAGACCTATTCGGGCTTATGCTGTACTATTACCTGACTACAAATTTTTACCCAGAATACCATCGCTATTCGAGTTTGAATTTCGAATATTTACTATTCAATTTTCTTAGTTTTTTCGAACTGCCGTAAAAAAAAAAAAGTTCACTATGATCATCGACCGATATCGCAGTATGAAGTCCACTTTAGAACGAATTAGCCATTAAATTCTGCACACAGTGTAATCTGCTTTTTCGTTCGGATATGAATTTATTCTATATTCTTCCTCCTTGTACGAATACCTAAAAATTAAATTGATAAGCTCGTATCATACTTTCTCGAAGGAGTCAACTAGAGCAAACGTAATTTCTCCCACCCCTAGCTTTAATATATCATAAAGATGTTAACTGTCTTTCTTTTGGAATGTTATCATCTACACGTAATTGTTACAAGTACCAATACGTATATATATTTAATTACTGATTTTCTGCAAAACACTTTATATAAAAAGAACCACGACCTACCGTCCATTCAGTTAGAAATCCTTCGTAAGGTACGTACATACGACAGACAGAATGTGCACGGAAAAATATTTCCAATAAAAATTACTACATTATTTTTATAATCAGAGGATATACTGGCATTTTGAAATGATCTACTATTATTCTATTTTCCAATAATAAACGTATTATTTGCTATTTCTTATTGCATCTTTAGTATTTATTAACTATGTTCCGACAAAAATTTACTATGTAGATATTGCAAATTTATGTACGAAACAACTGTTCAAATATGAAATTGTTACGATTGTTATGGCAAGTTCAATTCGATTGAATTTTTAATTCTCTAATGTCATCAGGTAAAATTATAATTTTTACTATATATCGAATTTTGAATATAATTGAATTGTCATAAAATTGACTGTCTCTTGACAAAATAAGGATCAATATCTGTATATCTGTATACTTTTGCACCACTATGAAACAGTAAAACGAAGACATTTTATGGTAAAAAGTACTTGAATATCTTCACCGTGTTGAGTGCCATTGAATAACAGAAACTGTTGAAGGCCTATTCGAAAGAGTTTTACCCAGACTTATCATATACAGTATATAAGAAATCCTTAAATTAATATTTCAGGAAGACGAATATTAAAAAAAAACCGTAAAAAATGATGTTATACTTTTTGCTACTCTCTGCCCTCGTTGGCATCTCGTCAGCGGCAGCACCAGGGTTCGCTAACGGAGTTACCGGAGGGACTGGTGGTGCTACCGTCTACCCCACCACGCTTGCCCAGCTCAGGAGCTACCTCTGTGGTTCAACTGACTCAAGAGGATATTGCACTGACAACACAGCACGTAACATCATCTTGAATAGGTCTTTCGACTTCAGAGATAGCATGGGTAAAACTACAGAAAGAGGATGTTTCCACAGAAATTGTAACGGAAAGCCTGGACCATCCCAAGTTGGCCTGAACTTTGATAATTATTGCAATGGCCGCACGGCCACCTCGGTAACCTACGACAAAGCTGGAAGATCAGGAACAATCTTGGTTGGATCCAACAAGACTCTTCTGGGTTCTGGTAACAAGGGTGCCATCAGAGGTGCAGGCTTGATGATCAAGGGCGGAGTCTCAAATATCATCATCAGGAACATCGCTATCACTGACATAAATCCAGACGTCGTTTGGGGCGGTGATGGTATTGATATTGATAACAGCAGCAGAATTTGGATCGATCATTGCTACTTTGCTCGGATCGGCAGACAAATGATTGCTATCGGTACAAAGGCTGTCCAATGGGTCACAATTTCATTTAATGAATTTGATGGCAAGACCGGTGCGTCAGCCACCTGCGACCACCGTCATTACTGGGTCCTTCTTGTTTTGGGAGCTCAAGACACTGTTACTATTTATGGCAACTACTTCCATAATTCTTCTGGGCGTGGACCTCAAATTGGAGGATCCGGTACCCAGCATGTCCACGTAGTCAACAACTACTTTGAGAATCTCAGCTCTGCAGGTTCCCTTACAGCTAAAGTTGGCGCCTCTGTGCTTCTTGAAGGTAATTACTACCAGACTGTCACTCATCCGGTTTACAGTAGTACCACAGGTGGCGCCATCTTCGGATCTTACAGCGACGCTGGTACTTGCGCTAGCTATTTAGGACGTAATTGCATTGGAAATAGGGCTGCTAAATGTAATACCAATTACATGCCTGCTAATATAGCTGTGTTGAATGTTTTCAAGAACTACAAAAAATACTTGGTCAACCCTATGCACGGCATCAATGTCCCATCTTGGGTTCTTGCTAATGCTGGTGTTGGGAAACTTTAAAGCTTAGGTTGATCATCACGTTTCTTTGAACTTGCTTAAAGGGCTATAATTTTAGGGATGTGTCTCTTTCAGTGAATTTTTAAGAATTAAATTAAACGGACTCGACCTGCTTCTATTAGAATTCTACGTGTGTTACCGCATGAGATTAGTTCGTACGAGAACATGCAGGGCAAAGATGTTAACTCTAGAAGGATAACCTACGTTAATTTTACTACCAAGCCTGGTTATCTTTAACGTAGATTAGAAAAAGGTTATCTTTCTGGGGATAAACAAAAATTTCTTTGTTATTTTCAATACTAAAGATATAATGTAGAAATAGAAATAAACAAGTCATTGTTTGCATTAATTTTGTCACTATTGAATTCTCACCCTTTTTTAATAACATGTGTGACATACTCATTATTTTTCTTGATTCTTGTTTAAAACAGAGTCTAAAATCTTTTATTACAAGATTTTTAGATTTTGATAAGAAAATTGTACGATTAGTGGTTGCATCCGTTATACCGAAAACTCCAAATAATCATTGCCAAAAATATCTGACTCCGTATGCATAATCATTTTTCGGCTAGAACTATCTTGATGCATAAATTTGCGCCTAATTGCAAATAGGAATTCCTCAACTTTAATAAAAAAAATATTGTTCTCAAAAGAGTTATAGTTTTTATAGCACAATTCGGAACCTGGCGTAGACCTGAAATTGTCAATTTCTGCAAAAATCGCCTCCACTCAACGAATTCGCCAGTTGCAAGGCCACTATCATTGCTTCGTCAAGTATACGTTTTTAGGCCGAACCTAATGGAACAGTATATTCACGAAATTTCTTTATAAGGCTAGTTGTTAAACGTAATTTATGCCTCGAAACGTACATTGTATTTTTTTATTGAAGTGTATTCAGTAGCTCAATATAAATTTTATTTGGCCTATTTCTGATTTAAAAAGCCATTTACATCTTGAAAGTAAAATGCGGACCAAGCCCAAAGAGGACCCAAAGTCTTACGAACTCCGCCAAGTCTGATGTACGTTGAAACTACCTTTCTCCAGACCACATAGCCTATTCGTGTCTGGGACAAAAAATTCAATAAATTTTCTACCAAGTCCACCTCACGCGTATGAATTTTTATTCGTAATAAAGTGTTAATAAAGTACAGTAAAAACAGCAAATGTTGATAGTACTCTTTCGCCAGCTTATATCTTATTAAAATCAGCGAATAAAAGAGCCGAAACAATGGAAAGTCTGACGCCTTCCAATACTTTCTCATAGAAATTGGCTTTTGGAAATGGAGCAACAAAATTAGAGAGATGGTATTTTCTGCCCAAAATTGAATTAACAAATTTAAAAACGCAACAACTATTTAGCAACTAAAGAATATTTAAGTGTTTACGTCAATTTATATCGTTTATCTATTTTTTTTTGTATGTGGCTATGGTAACTTCAACCGTACACGGCGCAGCCACTACTTCCGGTTAAAGGGCTAAAGTAACAAAATTTAGAATAAAGTAGATAATTAGCAACTAAAGAGCACTAAATTATTATGCTTGTTTCAAACGATTGTGCCGAAGTGGACATGTCAACTTTATACACGTGTATGATACACACAATCTATACGATTATTTTGACGGATTTTTTATAGAATTTCGATGAAAATTTTTCACCTGGGGATTCACATGATCAATCCTAATATATTTCATTCAACAAAACCAATTCACGGTCATCACTTATCTATAGCTACTCAATATAGACATATCTTTTTTTTATACATAATAATTTCATCCACTGAATCCATTACCTATATCTCTAATAAGTGAACAATTCTTGATACTGAATTCTATTCTAGACTCTTTTAATCTGTACATTGAAATGGGTTCCTTGGACAACCATACCCTTATTTACCATACTCTACTTATGTTTTCCTTGTTATTATTTTCAATGCAATTCCAAGAAACATTGAATGCCAGTCATACGTATCAGCAATTTAAAAATTACCCACTCAAGGATATAACAGTTATAAAATATCTAATGCAAGTAAACTGCTCTATCTCTGACTAGGAAATTGTAACATTGCCGATATCTATAACTTTTACAATGTATTTGTTACGATACAATTATATTATCGGTTAAATCAAAGTGACTTCTTGATCCTTGGGTTTATCAAATTTCTTACTACTGTATTTTTTAAATTTTTTCATATCCAACTGCATTATCACCGTGATAAGTTTCATGTGTCGAACGATCAAACGATTTAATCGATCGACATTAGTTTCTATCTCATATCCTAATAGCAGTACCCGCTATTTCTGGTATTAAAGATTTTACTTTTTCCTTCCCTCTTCAATGTCAGAACTATAGTAAGTAACGTAAGCGTAGCCACGCATGTGGATCCACTGTAACTATAATTATACAACCATAGCAAACCGACACAGCAACCACAGATCTGGCGACAGGTACGAAGCAGCTTAGTAAAGCTTGTCGTATGATTTTCGACACAATTTCATGACAAACCATACTTGCTTGGTTTAGCTTCACTGCTCACAAATATGTATATAATACATTAGGATTTGACTAGTCGATAATAACATGCTAAGAATAGCGAATGTTTAAACAATCATTTTTGTCTATTTGACAAATATTAGTATACAGTAAAGATCTGTCTGCTGTCCCATAGTGGATATCACTATACCGTGCAAGAGATACACAATTTTCATGATGCATATCTCCAACACAAATCGATAGTGCTATACTTGATAATAGCTTCGAGAACTTTTTATTATACAAATGACGAATTAAGGTGTAACGTGTGTACACGTAAAAGCAAAGGAAACTGTATCGCCGACATACCACGTATAATCGTCCTGAATCGAACCTTCGACTTTCGTGGCTCTTTTGGATATATTACGAAACTGGCCTGCTTGCACGCCGATTGTACTGGAGAAATTGGACCACCTCAAGTTGGCTTGAATGTTGGTTCATACTGCAACGGACGTGCACCGTCCATGGTCACCTATGACGATGCTGATACCAACGTAGGCTCCAACAAGACCATCATCGGGATAGACAAGAATGGCCGCGTCATTGGCACAGATCTGGTGCTGAAGAACATAGTGAGCAACATTATAATCCAAAATATCGCTATCACCGTTATCAATACCGGTAATTTGGGGTGGTGACGTCATCGTTGTTCGGAACGCCAAGAAATTTTGGATCGACCACTGTTACTTTGCTGATATAGAGAGACAAATGATCGTCACCAGGGGGATACGAAACCACTTCAGGTTACTATTTCTCGTAACATATTTGATGATAATACTCTACCTTCATCCAGACGCAACGAGAAACCCTATTGGGTCTTCCTGTTCAATGGTGACGAAGATAGCATTAGCATATGGCAATTACATCTATGAAGCTTGTGGTCGTGGAGCCAATGTTAAAGGAAGGAAGAGTATCATACATCTAGTGAATAACTATTATGAGAATCTGAGTCTGGAGGGCGCCGTTGCAACGCATGGTAGTGATTCCTTTGTTCTTGTCGAAGCTAACGCATTCGAGAATGTCAGCAATCCTGGTTATCAGAGTGCAGATAATGGAAATGTATACGGTGCATTAAATGACACTTCCCTATGCTCTTCCCATATTGGACGTGATTGCGTTGGCGATTCTCTTGTGAAATGTATTGTGACTTTATTTTTATTATTGTTTATTAATTAGTATATTATTTATTATTAATTAGTATATTAACCGTGCACACTCCATTGGTGCCTTTAGGCCGAAATATGTTTGGAGTGCATAATGCTGTCGTCTTTTTATTTCAAATTTCCCGCGTGACATCGATTGATTGAATCGTAAAACCAATTAGTGAGTCGTCAACGCTCTTGGAAATCATTATTCATAATTCGGACAACGCATCGATCTTCATATAAACATAATTCTCATTAATTATGCTTTCTCGGTATCCACTCTAATCCCGGAATTCAGTGGACTACGGATATTTCAGTATTAATTACCGATTATTGCCAGATCGCCGGAAGTTTACGAGCGCGATAGTTCGCGACGTTTGCGAATGTATTTTCGTTGAATATGGAAAGTCTTATGCATATCGACCGTGTTACGGAGTTATTTATTTCATTTATTGTATATGTAATTCAATTCAAAAGTACAAATCTCTCATAATAAAGGATATCGAATATTGTATTTGTATTAATTTTTTTTTTCGCTTTTCCCAAAATAATCCATTACACTCTATACGTATTTCATGAATAATTGATATGTAGCAAATGCACGTAACTCTCCTCGACTTTCGAATATAGTTTTATTTAATGAATAGTTTAATCAATCTGCAAATTATTAATTCGTCAAGCTACACGAGCACACGAGGATTTAGGCACGTCGTATGAAAATTGAATAATAATAATTATTCGAGGAATGCTATTTCTGTAATTAACACAATTTCAAAGTAATATTCCAGATATGGCAAAATAATAGTTGGACACTGGACATAATGTAAATACACGTAAATATCAAATTATTATTTTTTATTTATCTGCATTTCATAGCATAATGTGTAATGTGCATTTCACTAATTGTAAGAGTTTTCCATAGAATTCCGGTCCCATTCGCATCGGAAACAACTAGGCATTAATTAGTCCGTATTTAATTATACCACGAACAGATTAAACCGTACCAAGTTATTTATAGCTCAAGGTGACAATCGGCAAGTGAAATATCTCGAAGCCGAAAAGCATAATTCCCAAAAACGATAAACGCCATTTTAATATTTATTAAAATCAACTACTATAATAATGTACGTGCGTCCTTCTAAAGCATCTCCATTAATATAAATTCAGTCCTGCAGTCGGCTGACAATTAACGGCACATTAGGATATAATAGTAAAGAAATAATCGTTCGATTAAATATAAGGACAAGAAATAAAAAACAAAACCGATATATCACTAACCATTGGTTTACTTCCTCAAGTGATTTTCCACGCTATAGCAGATCGATAGCTTGAAATCATTAATTCTCAATCAACGTAATTCCACTTGACATATCTTGATAGGCTCAATATCTGAATTATTTCGTAATGATACTCTTATCCGTTACAGCTATTGAAATGCCATCCAGTTATCATGACTTTATTTAACCCGTGCGTATAAGTACAAGCTGCTATTCTTACCAGCGCCATCTGTATTCGTCATAAGTTCTTGTATGTCTCGAATTCTCAATTGTGCTGTGCATAAACTTTTTACAGATGCTCGCTAACTGTATCAGTACGCATACAGCAAATACAGATAGTTAAAAATAGTCAATATCCATATATACGTAGTTTTGATCTTTGCTCACTTTTTTTTAAACATCCTTCCCAGCACAAAGTTCCGCCATAAGATTTTCTCCAAGACCACGCGGAATTCTATTTGCAGAATGGAGTGCATCCACCACTAGAAACCGGATAAATAGAGGTTATGCTCCAGATACTCATAATACACCACTCGGCCGATCAATGTTGCGTGTATGCTTGGATGGTTGGCATGCATAATTCATAATAGGGATTTCTGCCATCGCACAACCCCACGTCAGCCCGTTTCCCAATATAATCAAGTCCCGGTGGGTTGCATGAGCTTCAGGAGAATTCGAATGGCTAATCTGTTATCTGCGATTCGAGTAGACCTTCAGGGTAGATGGATTTGAATTTCTTATTTTTAGAAAAGTCGATCAATGTCTCTTGATATAAGATTGCGATACAAATTGGGACAGATGAATATATAAATTTGATATTATTGAAATTTCTTTTATTTCAATCAAGAATATCCACAGTTCATTTGTCACGAAGAAAATTGAAATACAATAAAGTACCTTAATATATCGATACAGTATCGCTGTAAGAATACACAAATTTTGGATACTGTGTACATCATTAACTTTTTGGCCGACTTATGTGTGTTGAAAAAAAAAATCGATTTGCTCCAGCCTTTATATCAAATTCGCAAAAGAAATTTTTTTTTTAATTTTCATAATGGCGATACTCTCGACAGTTCTCGAGAACTCTGAAGCTTTCTTTCTATGCCGTATATGCTCTAACGTCTAGGCTTATATACATATGTGTATAGGGGACTATATACTACACAGAAAGAGTGCGAGGTTTGTCCCTGTAGTATATATAGATATATATAGTACCATGCCTTTGTACAGATCTCCTCGAGGATGCTGATATTCTCGGAAATAGCCGAGGCGTTAAAGTAAAATCCAGGATTACGAAATGAGAGCAGCACTACCGGTATCAGTAACCATATAGACACTGCTGACAGCGTCAGAGAAGCATAGCAGCTGTTGGAAAGAAAAAATCCGAGTAAATTGGCGCAGAGGCGTTAAGATTGAAATAGGCCGTCTAAATAAAAAGAAAGTCTGAAATGAACGAGCATCCATTTAGAAAGTAGGCAGGGAGGTAAAGCCGTTAACATTCTCGCGGTTCTTCAAGGGTCCCACTACGTAATTACCCCTAGGTAATGAGGAAAACCTAATTCCGTTAACCCATATATATACGGGGACGAGAACCCTTGAGTTGGTAAAAGTCGCATAAACTTAGCCATGATGAATTTTTAAAATTATCTTGTCATTAAGTGAAACAATTTCATAGGAATCATGAAATGAATAAATTTTCGCTAATAGCGTTATAGTATGAACATGTACTATGGATATACCTATAAGTCGTATGGCCCGATACATGATATAGATATGTTTTACCATGTTATATCATTATACGAGATATCTACGTATACGCACCAAGGGTGGCGCCACTATCGATCGTAAAATAGCAGGTGCAGCTAGGCTAAGGCAAAGTGTTATGTAATATTCACATGTTAGCCAAAGTAGGAGGGTGGCTCACAACCCTCTTCCTCTCGTCCTTACACTCACGCCTTTGAATTCGCGAAAACAATTGTTATGCCGGGAAGAAAGCCGATACCGTTGGGAAATCAAGTGGTTATATTTATAACGCGGTGTGCCGAGGGCCATCGAATGACTAGTTTTATTTTTAGCCGCAGGAGCCGCCACTTACGCTATAGGAACGTAACTTTCCCTGTTATTTCTTTCTCCCTTATCCTCCCCCACTTTCTTTCTCACTTTTTTAGACCCTGTCTCCCATAGCTTTTCTTACCTCTCTGTCCTTTTTTTTTATTTTTCCAACCTACACCCTCGTGTCGAGTTCTCAGAATTGGACCGTGTTGCTGTTAAATTACGAAAATCCCAGGAGAAAAATCTCTCACGCGAATTTCATACGTTTCGGTTACACTTTGTTTTCTTCTCTTTCCTCTCGATTACTATTAATGGAAATCAGGGACTGAGACGTTGAGATATTCGACACTGGGTTTTCTTTGCGTTTGTTATTGCTACCCCCAAAGAATTCTTGACTTCGAATGCGAATTACGTGTATTCCACCGTTCAGAATTTTTGTATTTCATTAACCTGCCTAGTAACGATTTTCAAGTATGGAAACTGTTAAGCACCTACGAATTCAAATTTCGAAAGTTCAATTATCATAGAAGCCAGTTGAGTTCCCAGTACTGAATATCTGTATCTGACTGGAATAATTCTATATCACACTAATCATGTTAACGCTAATGCTACCGTCTACCAAATTGTACTTCATTGCGTTTCACACGAACACTTTGCCTAAAACATTTTAATCTACTCTCATACATACTTCACGTGTATTATCAGCAGAATGAATATACATATATATCATATATGGTGAATCACACTAATTTAACAATTTATACTAATTTTATATACTGATTAACGTCGAACGTAGAATGGACTATGATCCACTATGTCGATCATCACTTGGCTTAAGGTACCTTCCAACGGACGTTATCACGGTTTGCTGTGTCTAGACACAGTCAATTGCAAGTCAATTGCAGTAGGTCTCAGCTACTTCCATAACTGCAACGTAATATATAGCGAAGTCTAACAAATGATCATACCCCTCCATAGCAGTTTAAAGAATTATGGTCTGATAGATCCAGTATACTTTATTTTATGCTTACGGAATATATTCAAGCGTCCTAAGACCAATGCATAACTTTTAGCATAGAACTATAAAGTGTGGTTTCGATCTTTCTCTTACAGCCATAAAAATTAATAGAGACTTTTGCAACTGTTATAGATATAGATTTATAAAAGTTACAAAAACACTTTAAATTTGTTCCAAACTCCCTTTACGCTGCGAAATAACTTAAAAATAATTTATACAGGACTTCCTATGACGTAAATGTTCTACAATTTTATTTTCCTTTGGTCTATAGGTATTACGAAGAAACATTTACCGTCCTGTCTTTTCAACTGATACTTAACAATCAGAATCCTGGTTTATTGTGAATACAATATTGTTGGGCAATGAGCAAAGCTACAAAGGTTGTCCAGAGATACACAGATTATACAATGGATTGAGTTGGATGGACTTATGGGTAAAATATACCGTGGTTCATTTAACATGTATACCGCTCCTCAGAAAGTTATTCACAAAAACAACGGAAGTTATGAAATTACATAACAAACACTAAGACATGGGGTGCCATCTGGACAAATGAGAAGGAATTCACTCACTAATGAAGCTCGTTCGACGTCAGCTCATCGGACGAAGGAACCATACTCACTAACTCGACAATCCCAACCGCTTGATTAAATTCTTCTGACTTTTTTCACCCCATTGTGTCACCGGCGCCATTTTCTCCCTCGCGGAAGCAGATTATTCGAATTCACCCTCCAGCCAGATGATCACAATGGATTTCACCCATCTATACTGCTCTTACTTCCTAGGAAACATTTCGACCCTTTCCGATTACTCCTCTGCGAATGGTTAGTAAAGTCGACTAATTTATATCGATCGATGATTACTTACCGTCAATTACCCAATGTAAAATAATAATTGTCGTGTTACGCAATATGTATTTTACGCATGGTATATCTGATATAATAGCAAATTTTTTGTAGGGAGGATTCAAAAAAAACTCAGTGATTTTCTTCCGTCGTCAGCCATTTTCTTTTCTTACAATAACGTAGTAAAAAAAAACGTCTGTTCGGAGAATAAAGGAACTAAGAGGATAACATGAGAAAATTTGTTATCGAATCTCAGAGACAAGTCAGGTCTTGGCGAGGAGCCATAACTATTTAAACTTGGAAGCAAACGTTCGATTTCGCGAAAGTTAACACGAATGAAGTATAATGGGAAAAGTCAGTGTACTATTTATCGCGATGCCTCACAGATTAATCGCACGATTAAAGTTTCAATAATTCTCTCAACATCACGTTTATATAAGAGAAATCATCGTATTAATATTAATATTAAGAATACTATGTATATACTATTATATACTTATACATTCATTCTTATCAGTCGTTATCAATGCTTGAAAACTGCCTTATTCCATATCAATAGTATCAAAATTTAAAATCACCATGATGAAGAAATCAAAGAAAATATGTGACTTTTTTTTCTAACACTGTGAAGCGATCTACGTCTGTCAGTAGATATGACAAATGTCCTTCTAAATCATAAAAATCTAATTAATAGATGGATCAAACAACGGACGTAAATAGTGGAAGCTAAAAATATAGTTAATTTATGATTGCCAAAATTGCCATTACCATTGTCCTATATAAAATGATGGAGAACCAATAATATACGAATAGTCGTTTACCGGAAATAATGTTACGTAATCTATTGTAATTTCACGATAGTCATTTCAGATCCTCGTACAATTTTATGCTTACTGCTTACCACATAGACGATGCCCGTGTTACTTATTGTCTGCCACCAGTACGCGACAAAGCCGTGGCTTTACGATCGGCCCTAAACTCGAAAAGTATTTTGGATTCTGGAAAGTTCGAGAATTCCGAAAGAGACTAAATCCTCAAAATCTCAGTAATATTCTTGTCTCACCAACTGGGCCATTTGCTGACTCAAGAAGGAGTTCCACCATGACGTAACCTTAAGGTTCACCCAAGCACGATTGCTGGCTTCATTTTAGCTTCTTACCTCATCGCCATTTTAATTTTCAGCTCACTTCCTCATGGCCACGATATCTTTAAATTTTGATGGGCATCCCTCGTCCTACAAGATTCTCATACATCGCCATTCCGCAAATGGGAAAGGGTGTCAGAGTTACTCAAGTGGAAACCGAAGGTAACTGCAATGGATTTTCCTATTGTGTGACGTGAAAGCGGCAGTTCTCTATTCGCAAGCTTAATAGCTTTGAAAGAGCGGGATCTTCTCTTTATCTATTTTTTCTTTGAAAGCGTATCAGCTTCTTCAACCCTAGGTGAGATTTTCCCTCCTTTACGATATCGGCGCTTTGAAAACTTTCGAAATCTCTCTTTATCCGGAAACTGTATATATGTATATATTACTATCGTAATTTTCAAAATATCACCAATCGTTTTTCTACAGAAAGCGCTTTTATAAGCTTTCATATAGTCCAATCACTGCTCGATTTTAATCAACTTTCCAATTAGCCTTTCCCTTCTCTTATTTTCCACATAATAGAAACAGCAGTTGTATACCCAGTGCTACCTACCAACCTAACCTACCGGTACCTTACCTACAGCTATATATACTTACAGGAAACATTCGGTTCTTTTCTATTCTGTGTCCAGAACGCTTATCCACTCGTACAATCTGGTAGGTTGGACTGTAATGCACTTACGCGAGTCTGCAGTATCCAATAGAAGGAAAAAGCTCAAGTGAAAGAACCAGAAGAGAATCTCTCTTAACAAGTGTTCAAGAGAGTGGCAGACGCTTTTGAACCTTTCCACCACTGGACTACATTGGCCACGTGTATACACAGTGGTAAACATATATAGATATATATACATATGCCCACTATGGTCAATCGCACGTATTCTCCTTCCCACTTTTAGCAAAGAATGTACGTGTTTATCTAAAAGATTTGTACCCGGATTTGAACAGTACTTCCGTACACCCAACTGAATGTCAAATACCCAGATAGACATCTATGATTAAGCACAACGTTCAGCAAGGCTGTATGTCTTATGAGTGCTCGCCTGACAGTGATATTTGCTCAATTACACGATGACATAAAAATGTCACATTGATCGCCAATGTTCCTTACGTGTGTGTTAAAAAGGAGATCAATATTATCTTACTTATAATTTATCAAAATATAAAGCAGGTATGGTTTACGTTTACCCTCATAGGATGATGAAAAACATTTTTATTATACGTGAGATATGAAGCAAATGTGACGTATCACAATAAGAACAACTTTTCATCGTGCTATGAGGTAAACTTAAACCATACCTACCATATATTTTGACAGAGCATATATAAAATAGTATTTCTCTTCTTTAGCACGACGAATAGAGCATCACACGTAATCGACATTGACGATTATGTTGCCTTCTTATGCCATCATACTACTTAGCATATTTCACTGTTAGGCGAGCACTCATAAGACACATAACCTTGCTGAACGTTGTATTTAATCAGAGAAGTCTAACGAGAGAACGTATTGTATATATATAATATATTCTGCAATATATTCTATAATACAATATGTTCTCTGGTCTAACCGAGTGCCGATTGTCAATCCTGACTATGACCACTAGCGCCACTAGCGGAAATCATCGGAGGCTTCCGTACCCTATCCTTTCTTTATTTTTCGTTTCGTTTCATTAAACCTCTTCTCTATCGCGAACACCTTAATAACAATTACCTTTTATTCAAGAAACCTAGAGATTGCACTCCATAGAGTGAATCCTCGGGGAAAATTAAATTCGTTTTACTACCAGTGTCTTGGTATTTCTGTTTTGCTCACACCAAACGCAATTCTGTTTTGCTCACACACAGGTCTTGCTTTGCTCGTTTCTTTAGTTTGATTACCCACTTGATGAACTTGGCCTCTTGTATCGTTACAAGAACCATATATCTATACTTAGATGCGATTATTAATGTATGTCCTGCGCAGAGGTTATCAAACATGCTGGAATAATTGGATATTAATATCTCTACTCTCAAGGGGGTTACGACCAGAGTCCATTTGGTATTGACAGATTCTAATATCCCTCGGGACCTTAAATAGGACATTAGAGATTCCAAGCCCACCACCAGCATTAAATTCATCTAGGGACTTGCTCTGTGCTATTCTGATTTACATATACGTTTGATTGTACAAGTGTTACGATATCAATTAATTATTTTTAGATCGCGTACATATCGTACGTGTCATACGTGACTTTAGGCTTTACCTAATTTTGGTATTTACACTGATTGGTAGTACGTATACGATATCATAGACCCGTAGGACTCTCTCCGTAGACCCTGTGCTACTGCATACCGGTAGTCCAGACTGCATCCTTAATTGCATGTTTACGCCGGTAGTCAGGTCGCGACACAAGACTGTAATTTCATCGCGAGAGTCGGTACGTGTTCTGGAGTGTATTTTACTAGAGTCGTGCTTGCGATGCGGATTAACTATTAAAGGAAATAGTCTCGGGTCTGTTTATCCAGGGAACATGGTTTACGTAGTTGCGCGAACGCGTTTGAATGTTTAATGGCATCTACCTAACACCAATCTGCAAAATCGTGGTACAGGACGGGTGAATGAATTTAGCTTGATTTTCACCGAACGGGATTCGTTAAAGTGGAACAAAGTTCGATGCGTTGAATAGCTGAGCGTGTAGCTAAATTCACGGGGATCTTTAAATTTGCCATTTTATTGCCATTTGCCATTATATATATATATATAAATTTATAACTGTGTAGTAAATACAGCTGAATATATATATATATATATATATATATATATATATCATTAGGGCATATATATACATATACGTCATTAGGGCGTGAATAATTTCGTTATCAAAAGCCTCCCGGCGCTTTTGCAACTATGGAAATGCAAAAGAGCCTGGAACAACTTCGAGACGCAAATTTCATCTGAAAGTTAAACTTTCAAGCTTTCTTCTGACCCCAGGACTTCCATTGAGTTATTTCAATATTACCCGTTATTAAATTCTCAGCGAACGACCATAATTCCCCGCGCGTTTTTCAGGTTTCGACAATATTCAAGAAATTTCGAGAAACGTAGGTTCTTCATGTGAACCATCATTATTCAAAGGCGAGGAAGGTCTTCCTAAACAACTTTGGATATTTTTTTTCCATTCATTCCTTCCCTTACATCTTGCTTCAAAGTAACAAAGCAATATCCAACTGAATTGAATAATAGAAATATTATGACGGAGTCGACATTTTCCTGTCTTGCTGAAGAATGTTTACGGAGATATTCCTGTATCGAACCAGCCAGAATATCATCAAAACATTTACCCATGAAATTGAATACGAGACTGTATATTCGATGCTGTCCTATTTTTTTATTCTCCCATTTTATCTTGTTTTTTACAGTCAGCACGTTTCGCACTTTGTATATCTTCTTGTTTTTACGAACCCAATGGCATTATGCTCGTTGAAGGAAAATTTACTGAGCTCCGATTCCACGTATGTAGATATACGTTCACATGTGAAATGTGAAAGTGTAATTATGAGGACGTGTGACACATAACGAGCCGATGTGTTTTTTTCTTTAAAAAAACTAAACCTTGAGACATGTGGCATTGGAGTTCTACCCTAGTCTAACCTAACGAAACCGTTTCTTAGCCCATCACAACTCCGAGTGTCTAGCATGAAATTTTTTTTGAAAATTCGATGTGAGTGCCGCTTTATCGTCCTGGCATTATACCTTACGTATCAAGATGCTATCAGGACTGTCTTGAGAAACACAGAGTGTTCTCATAACTGCCAATACTCAAGACAGAAAGTTCTAAGAACTACCTCTTCTTAA